GATCTCTGCCGTCTTCAAGCCGCCCTATTCGACCCCCAAAAATGATCAAAATGAAATTAAGTCCATAAAATGAGTCCCGGCTGTGACCTTGTTGGAAACATTTGCACATCACATGTCAATATGTAAAAGAACCAGTAATAATTTGCCTTTATTGCTAAACCATTAGCGACATTTGTCGCCCCAAGGCAAACTTATTGCGAACGCATTTTGAAATAAAATTGATTTTTGACACTTAGGTGTCTAACTTTTCACACAGCACTCAACGAAGAAGAAACTGCAGTGATTTTTTTCTTTTTTCCATTTGAACTTCCTGTTGCGACACTATTGATAATTTTTTCTTTGCATTAGCCTTAAGTGCACAGAAAAGGCCTCTTTTGGCCGACAAAAAATACAGCGAAAAATAAATTCAGCGGCTCAAGCTGATGCTTAACTACTTGCAATAAAGCGAGATATTTGTCTTTTCCATTCTAATATAAACGGCGCAGTTATTGACGCTATTCTATCACTTCTGCCAAACCATTTGCCGTTTTTACATTATCTAGAAAAAAATACAGAAAATCGAGATTTTATTGTAACACGTATGAGGGAGCTAGTGTCTTTTTTTTTCATAAAGAAAAATTACGGTATGCATAAAAATAGCGTATTCTGATATGCATAATAAAACCAATCGCGGAGTTTTAATAATGGAGCAAACATTACAAAAGAGAAAAGCTTTCCATCAACCTGTTGGCAATTTGCATGTTGGTTTTGAGAGAATATAAACTTATAGGCGGCAAGTGGGTAATTGCTGTGTTTTGGGCAAGAGGTCGTAAGCTCATTTACACTCTCTAAGTTTCAATTGATCTCGTTTCTATTGAGAAGAACAAAGGGGAAAAAGAATGCAGTTGTTTATGGTTTAGTAAAATGTAAATTTAACGCACCGACGGATGTTACGGTCGTTTGAACTGGAATCGAACTCATTGCCCTGAGGGGTCGTACGAACTGTCAAACACTTCTTCCCTTAGAATCAGGGCCGGAATTTCAAGGACTACAACTTCAATCCATATTGCACCATTTCCTTTCATCAATGAATTCAAATTGGACGTATGATCTACAGACTTGATGTTGCTTAATTGATGTTTGCCAATGTTAGATTGGTTTCGTTAAGGTACAGCAGGGAGCCTACTTGGCACGATTTCAACCAAATCCGCACTGCAGCGTGATGAAAATGTTGTGTCGTCTACCAACGTTATTCATGTGTTTCTTTATCACTACTTGGTTCCAAATCAGACTCGTTTCAACCGGAAAATGCCTTACCAACTTGCCAGGTAAGTGACGATTTGTGTATTTTAAGTAATAACATTTCACTTCGCATAAAGGAAAACTTTACTGTGTAACGTTTATGGATCCTTACGAATTGTAAATGATTACAGCATGTAACAACGCAATTTGGTTCAGTGGAGTTAGGTGGCTTCCACGAACGAGGACTATTCAGTCAAAATTTGGATTGCAAATTCACATCCAGAGATCAGTTTTGCGTTATCTAATAAATTTTGTATCGTAGCGAATTAACGCCGGCATCCTTCACTAAATATAACAATAAATTATGAAACTCTCTCGTTTACGGCGTTTGCATTGTAAATGAAATCACGCGAATTCTTAGAACTCTTCAAGATAAATGTATTCTATCACTTACGCGCGCCGTGCCTTTTCCCTATTGCATCGTATGCAGGTCTGCGCTTTACAATTATTCAACGTTGTTCTGTAATATACTCGAAGGCGGCGTTTCTGATCAGCTGAATATATATATACTGACAAACTGTTTCGACTCCGCGGTCCGACCTTTGAAAGAAAAAGATGATATTGCGTAGATGTACGAGCGAGGGGTTTATATAATCTTTAGTGGATATTGGCAATCGTTCCGAAACATGATTACAGTATTACTGATAACGTAGAAATCACTAACTAAAATAGAATACAGGAAACCGTGGTTATAGGAGTAATATCAACATAAACAGCAGCTGGAGATCTCAATGCCCAGTGATGTTTCGCGAAGTTTCACGCAGAGCGCGTCAACGGTGTAAATTATTATGGTTTTACGTGCGTAAAATAAAATAGAGCAAATGTACGGAGGGCTTATCTGCGGACTCATTGAAGCACAATTAACTTTTTTCCCAAACATAAGTCCTCCATAAATTCGCTCTACTTTATTTTACGCGCGTGAGATTACTTAAATTTACACCTGCTCTGAGGTCCGCTGGCGTGCAGGAAATAACGCGACAGTCAGTGAATTCGCGCGAGTCTCCGCTGCCGTAACCCACAATTCTGATGCGATCAGGCGTTATTTTTTTTTTTAAGTGATCGTGGGTTACTGCCTAAACAAAAGCACTCACGCTGCAAATACTGCCGAGTGTTGTGCCACAGGATAAACAAGAAACCACTTCTGTGCTTGTGCAGGTGGAGTACTGAGTATACGTTGTGTGTACCCATTTTTGGTCATTGTCGTATTGCTCCACGAATGCTCAAAGCACTCGATAAATCCAGGGTTCGCCTGGCAAATCTCATCGCCAATCAACACTCAAAACGGAAGCATTATAAGGGGATTAAGGTTTTTTTTGAAAATCTTTTAATGACTCTATATCAAATGTCCTAAGAACGCGGAAACTTAGAGCTAAGCCGTGCCATGTTCGGCCCCTCTGCTACGTGCAAAATGATTCCTGAACCTCCTAACAATTTCCAAGCTGGACCTTAAACATTGAAAAGATCGATTGTCTTTTGTCGACCCGTAGCTGCACTTTTTACAGCAGACAAGTCCAGAATGGGCTATTTTTTAACCCTAGGGTTTGACTTTCCTGCGAACTGTATGTCATTCAATACGCCAAGTGTGAGTGACTTTGATGAAAACCGATTTTTTTTATATGCGAGTATTGAGACGTAGAAGGATTTGTGATTTGTTGCAATTTATTTTTACTTGGGCCATACATGAAGCTTTCTTATTTATTTATTTATTCATTCATTTATTTATTTATTTATTTATTTATTTATTTATTTTATCAGGTCCACTTCATCGAAAGGAATTCACCTTTCAAGGAGAGGAGATCCCGCTGACCATCTCTTATGGTCACCGCGTTTCCCATCATGCCTCTGCGGAGCTTACCAGGATATTGATAGAGGAGGGCCTGGGTTACGATAATGTGAGGCTGGTGCCGTGCTCCCATGATCCATTGAGCAGCTATGGAGACGTCACTATGGGTTGTGGAAACGACAGGTAATAAGTTGCCCAGTTTTGAGTGTGTTCTGTTCTTTTGCAAAGGAACTGGAGGATATTCCGCTGTAGTGTTAGACTATGGTTTACCCGATCTTTGCAGCAAATCAGAAGCGAATTAGAATTACGAATGCAGTGCATCTTTCGCCAATTACGGGTAGATCGAAGAACGTACAGCACTTCAACAGCCAATCACAACACAGACCTTCATGAGCCATGCCAATTATTGCATGGTCGATTCAGATATCCGTCTTCATTATCGTATAGCGAAGACATATTTCCTGACGATTACGCTACTACGACTGTTTCGTGGCCAGAATAGTTAAGGTAAATTTGAACTCAGTGAACAGGACGGACCAAAATATATTTCGCTAAAGCTTTGTTTAACATACCTGTCTTATACTATGAACAGAACTCCAGGTGTTCCTCAAGTCATGATTGACACAGAGGTCTGGGTACCATTTGACCGTGAAGAGCCTGTGAAGAGTCAAAAGATGGTTGACGTCGGATCATTAGGAATCACGGGAAGGTGGGTTTGAGACAAGCACTTGATGAATTCAGCCTTCCGTTTTAACGCGTAGAAGACCTAAAGTAAATAAAAAGATTTCACATCAACCTCTTGTATCATGTTTGTTTGAGCTACTAAAATTCGTTAGTATCACTGAGAATTTTGAAATTCAATCTTTCTTTGGGATCATAGGTTTTGTTTCCAAGGACATATTTAATGTTCAAGGGAGAAGAGATCAGGGTTTTGAAATCAGCCAGCATCTATGTGAAAAGAAACTGGCACTTGTGCATGAGACTAAGCGCGCCCTTTCTGATAAGAGCCGCGGTTTTAAGCGCCCCCTTCCAATAAATTACCCCATATGGAAAAGTAATATTCAAGACGTCAAACAGACTGATTAGACGAACGAATTGTCAAGTCTTCCTTCTCAACTGAGTATAGTACAGTTATCAGAGCCTCTACTAGTACAGTTTCCTGAGTTTAAGTCTCTGTTGTTTTTCATTAAAGTATTGTCACTGGCATTGCAGGATACCATGTTCAGATGTACATGTTCAAAAACTATTGAGCGCCCCGCCCCTAATAAGCGCCCTCCCTTGCCCCACGGGAGCTAAGCTACATTATGTCTATTTACTTTGGGGAAGTGAAACAAGGCAGAGGAACTTCGAATTCATCTCTTGAAAGAGTTTAAACCAAATTACAAATCAGTCAAATTATCGGCCTACTTCTAAGTAATCTATTTTAGAACAACTCACGTACGCAGTTTTTTTTCTCAGACAAGGTTGGTATACAACCGCTGATTTTGCAGACCGTGTGTGGACTGTTCATCATCAGCCTGCTGACCACTGGAGAGCCCTACAGTTGCCTGTAGTACTGCAGCAACTGTCCCTTGCCTCGAAATTGGTCACGTGTCAAGCCTGCATAGAACACGAGTTTAACCCTCCGCAGTGTTCTCAACAAAACCATACCGGAGCGAGATGTGTTGCTTTGCTGGCTGGACATAAAGGTATTTATTCAGAGAGTATTCTTCCGTTTCTTATGTTTGTTTTCCTAGCTTTTCTCTTCATCGGGCCCTGTTTCTCTCGACCATTCTGCTCTGAGTTCTGATTAGGGGGGACTGAACTAGAATATTGATGGGAAGATCTTATGATATTCAGTTATACAACTATCAACATTCAAAGAAACCCTGCCAAAGGTAAAGAACTTTGTTTCGTAAGACAAAGTGTTTTGGAGATTAACGAGAGTTCCAATTAGCGTACACAGTTTCTCAACTCTCTCAGAACCCCGGCTTTTTCGCGCTTGTTCTTTTTTTTATGTTTTTGAGTGAAAAAGTTAATTCAAAATGAAGAATTCTGAAAGGAGTGCTGAAGTGAAAACTAATGATATTTGTAAAAAAAAAATACCACAAAATAACTTTTTTTTTGGACATTAGGGAATTTTGGCGCTAACATAGCAAACAGCACCATGCTAAGGACATGTATTTTTCTCAACATACGATTTTGCATTAATCTTGTTATGCAAGCGCTTCTTTGTTCCCTCTATTCAATCTCGAACATTTCAAGCATTATTCAGTCTCAGTTGATCTTTTTCAACCCTATCTAACAGATAACGCCAGCGAGGTTTTGGTCGAGGGCCAGATTACAAGTCTTCATTTGAACGTGTCTATGACATGGCTCGGGAAGAGCCTGGACGCCAAGGTTTTAGAGAACGAAGCAAAGGGGAAACCATTGCTATTTTACGCCTGGGACCCAGACCCTTTAACAACTTCGGACAAGTTCAGGAGGATTACCTTCCCTGACTGCAGGTAATTATGAAGGTCGTTACCAATCCCTCTATGCAATTAATATAGTTCGTCTTCATGATATTTTTAGGCGTTGTTGAAAAGGAGGCGACCAGACAATAGAACTGTTCTACTGGGTATAATGTCGTCTGTACAGTTTGCGCGCAAACCAGTTGTTTTCCACGGTATCGACAAAAGTAGAGTGTGGCAAGCTACTTTCTTGTCTACCTTTCAGTCTGGCTCTTTCAGAATGTCGTTCATATAAGTAAAGTTTCTACAACATGTGCATTTGAAATGATTTTCAAATTACTTATCAGGTGTTATAATTCCATTTTCAGTTTTCCTTGGAATGATATGATGAAAAATCTCACGAGTGAAACCTGTAGAGGGTGCGATTTTCCCATGTACGATCTGCGTAAGTTTGTGTGGAAAGAAATACAGAACCGCTACAAAGATATCTACGGACTGGTAAGGGCCATCACTCTTACAAGAGAACACATCGCTGATATACTTCAACAAATCAACATAACTCGAAACAATACGTCGATAAACGATTCCGTCTGCCATTGGCTAAATAAGTCACGTGACGTTTGGTTGCCATGGATACAAGCAGAAACTAGCGTCAAGAGAACTGTGCTAATTGGAGGGATGTTTCCAAGCCTCGTGGAACCCAAAGCAATTTGGTCAAGTCCTGGAGTTGAAGTCGGAGCCCAATTGGCTGTAAAGGAGATTAACAAAGATATAAATATTTTGAATCGTTGCAGGCTTGAGTTGCTCGTTGCTCCAACTCAGTGTAGAAGGGAACTCGTTATTCCAGCTTATGTGAGATATCTTAATCGTGACGAGTCACAAAAGGTAATTGGTATTGTAGGTCCTGCATGCAGCAAAGCCACACTTCCAATCGCCGAAGTGTCGCGATTCCACAACACGATTCTAATGGGTTACGGAGCTGATGACGTGTCGCTGTCTGATAGGACGCGATTTCCGCTGTTTTTCCGAACGAATCCGAGCATCGACGAGTTTAAGTTAGCATATTTGTCGGTCTTTCGCGCGTTTAAATGGAAACACTGCGCGATCTTGCGCGAAGCAAAGTACCCAGTTAACACAGTCAGATCTCGCACCGAATTTCTGACTAAACATGGAATTCAAGTGCTGTCACGTGAGATGCCGTCCGATGGGGACCTGGATGCTAAAACGTAC